CAGAATGTGTGGTGACATTGTGATCCACCCTGAGCTTGTACTGCTTTGCTTCCTCTGCTGATTACACCCCACTTTGGCTATGGGGGTGTGTCAGAATGTTATCTTATGCTCTAGCCTGTAGTGGGGTGCTCTATAGCGAGTACAACCCTTCTAGGGTTTGCTATTTGTATCCTCATTCTTGCTAGTTCAATTATCTCTTCTCTCTTCTAAACTTTAACAGCAGGCAGGAGGGTTCAGGCGGGAACAGTTTTCGTAACTGTACGTTGGGAATGAATTTGAATAAGGGAATGTACCCCTTAGAGTACATGGCTAGCTAGGTCGATTCATCTTCCCTGTACTCATATTTATATCCTTGTGCATGTTTTTTTTATCATCTCAAGCATTTTACATTCATTCTGCTATTGAGGTCAAGGGCCCACCACCACTCAGTAGTGTGCGAACCTTCTTGAGGTGATCCTAAGAACGATCAACTTCTGATCGCAACATACGTGAAACACCAGTTTTGTTTTTCGCTAACTCAAACCCTACTTGTACGGTGTACAGTTTGGTTGAAACGCAAAGTTACTAGCCAGGAATTCCGGATGCACTGTTCATTACCATTCAGGCAATAATGTTGACCATTTTGGCATGATGGTTACCACGGTGGCGATGAGAGGATACCTCTGTTACGATTTGGACACGTGGCTTACTTCGCGCGCGATCGAGCGCAATGAGTGTTACCGCGGAGGTAATTACCCCCAAACAAGGGTTTGGAGCAAATCTCTCAATGGCGGTGTTCACCAGCAACTCAGAAAACGACGGCATTTTGGCGCCATCGGCATGGTGACCGCATCCGGAACCGGGGTCGAAACCCGCCCAAGAGGTCTGGGCGTAATGCGGTCCACGTGTGAAAGAAACTAGAACGAGAATGAATGAACTAGGAATGAAGTGAGTACATATAGGAAACCCTGATTGGGTTGTACCCCCTATGGGATACCCCACTATAGCCTACACAAATATATAAGCTATAATGTTCTGACACACCCCCATAGGCAAAGTGGGGGAGAACAAGGGGTCACAAGACCAGTCAAGCAAAGCAAAGCAAAGCTCAGGGTGGATCACAAAGTCACCACACATTCCGAGCACAAGTTCAAAGGCCAGAAGGCCAGTTCACATGCAAGATCACATATATATATATACAAGAGGCTAAGCAAGCAAGAGCAAGAGTATATATATGTGATAGTACAAGCAAGGTCAAGAAGTGAGCAAGTGAGGCAAGACAGGCACAAGACCCAGCTGAGTGCAGAAGCGCTGATGATCACAAGGCGCAAGTGCCTTGGTGAAGACATCAGCAGTGTTGGCCTCAGAGGCCACGTACGCAAGCCGCATCTGTCCACGCTGCTGTAGCTCACGAGCAAGAAAGTAGCGGAGAGCAATGTGCTTTGTTCTGTGCTCCAGTCGCTGCTCTCGACACAAGGCCAGCATGGCCTTGTTGTCTACGTACAGGACTGGAGGAGAACGAGGCAGCTCTCCAAGGTCGGTCAGCAGGTAGGTGAGCCAGCGAAAGCTCCTGGGCAGCCATAGCCCCGGCGTAGATCTCAGCCTCACAAGTGGAGCCGAGAACAGAAGACGAGCGGGTAGCCCGCCACGAAACAGAGCCGGAACCAAGACTGAAAGTGTAACCCTGTGACGACCGCTGCGTAGCCTGGTCGTCAGCCCAAGAGGCGTCCGCGTGCCCAGTGAGGACCACTGGACTCCGCCCTCCAAGCACTAGACCCATGCCCGACGTACTGCACAAGTAGCGCAACACCCTCTTTCGCTGCAGCCATGTGCTCTGGTCGGTGTCTCCCAGGAGCAACATAGCGTGCGAGAATGCTAAGAGGGTATGCAAGGTCAGGTCGTGTGCAGGTCATCAGGTACATGAGGCAGCCAACAAGCTCTGGATACGGGACACTCGACTCTACGGACTCATCCGAAGGCAGAGCTGAGAGCGAGTGGCGAGTAGGCAGAGGAGTGGCCTGAGGCGAGGAGTACGTGAAGCCGAAGCGCTGAAGGACCTGCTGCACCATGTGTGACTGAGTCAGGGTAATGGTGCGGCGTGCTCTGTCCCGGGTGATCTGCAAGCCAAGGTAGCTGCGCAGTTCACCCAGGTCAGTGCACGTGTGTCTCTTCTGCAGCTCGGACTTCACGTAGGCGAGTCCAGCAGTGTCAGCTGTGGCAAAGACCAAGTCGTCGACGTACACGAGGATGTAGAACGGCGGCAGAGAGGTGTCGGTGCGCAGAAACAGCGACGGGTCGGCAGTAGAAGGAGCAAACCCAAGTGCCGCCAGTGTAGTCCTCAGTGTGTCGTGCCACTCACGTGGCGCCTGGCGGAGACCGTAGACTGGACGCCAGGAGACTCCACTGGGTACCAGGAGGGAACGACCCAGTGAAACCAGGTGGGCGGCGCAGCCAGATCTCCTCGTGCAGGCTGCCCTGTAAGAAAGCAGTGCTGAAGTCGAGAGAGTGCAGCTCGTAGTCACGGTGAGCAGCAACGTGCAGCAGTACCCGAAGAGTGGTCATCTTCGGGGTAGGGGAGAAGGTCTGAAAGTAGTCAACTCCCTGCCGCTGACTGAAGTTACGAGCCACGTAACGCGCCTTGAAGATAGGTGGAGAACCCGGCGGCCGCTTCACCCTGAAGATCCACATGCCACTGACGATGTTCGCCCCAGGAGGGGGGACAGCGTCAACGTAGGTGCCTGTGGACTTCCAGGAAGCCATCTCTGCGTCCATAGCTGCCTGCCACTGAGAGGAGTAGGGACCCTCTATCGCCTTCCGCGTAAGAGCGCGGAGTCGGGATGTCAAGTGCATCCGGGTCTCCCTCAGGGGTAAGCAGTACGGACACGAGATGAGGTGAAGCAGCGGCGAGACACTGGAACTCCTCCTGCCTGTCCTCAAGGACGTCCGTGCCAAGGGCACACTCACCCCCGACGGACGGAGGACAGACAGACTCAGACTCAGTGACAAGACTCGCAGCGTAGTCTAGGCGACAGCGAGCAGCAAAGTCGACGAGCTCAGTAACAAGGGCAGACGGCAGCAGTAGACTCGAAAGAAGGGTCAGTGACGGCAGTAGCAAGGAGACGCGTGACAGTAGGACTGGCAGCACGAAGAGAGTCCGACTCCGGGTCGGCAAGAGCAGGAAGAGAGGACGCAGGAGGAGAAGGCAAAGGGGCACGTAGAGGAGCAGTGGACGGACGCAGAGACATCCGGTGCGTGCCAGGGACAAGAGGAGGACGCTGACGCGAACCGCGACCACTAGCGCGCGCAGCACGAACAGGCGACGCAGGACGAGACGCAGGCTCACGACGCTCAGTAAGACCTCCAATAGGACCAGCGTAGGGAGAAGGAGCAGGCAAAGGGGAGGCAGGCTGTAGCTGTGACTGTGACTGGACAGGCTGTGGACCCTCTAAGGGAGGAGGAGGAGGACCAGTAGAAGGTGTAAGACCAAGAACCTGCTGCAGGAGTGGAACGAAGTACGGTCGAGGCCGCGTGGCGACGCCAGATACAGCAGGGACAGCACCAGGACCCCCAGCAGGAGTACCCGCTCCAGCAGCACCTCCAGTAGCTCCAGCACCTCCAGCAGCACCTCCAGCAGCTCCAGAACCCCCAGCAGCACCTCCAGCAGCTCCAGAACCTCCAGCAGCACCAGGAGCACCCCCAGCAGGACCGCCAGTGGTAGTCTCAGCGCCAACACCCTCAGCAGCACCAGCTCCAGTCGAACCTGCAGGCCCAGCAGCTCCAGTACTCCCAGGATGAGCACCTCCGGGACCCGCGACAGCAGCACCCTCAGTAGCCGACGAACCTCCAGCACCAGCAGCACGGCTCCAGCGCCGGGCAAACCACTCGCGCAGCTCCTGTGGAGATTGAAAATGCGTCGCACGCCACGGGGCGTGCGACAGAGCATGTAGCAGCGGAAGCAGTAGTACCCACAGGCCGAGAGCGTAACCGCTCTGAAACCATGTGAAAGAAACTAGAACGAGAATGAATGAACTAGGAATGAAGTGAGTACATATAGGAAACCCTGATTGGGTTGTACCCCCTATGGGATACCCCAATATAGCCTACACAAATATATAAGCTATAATGTTCTGACACCACGAAACTTCAATCCCCAAAACAGGAAATTTTACAACCGCATATGGAACCCCCAGCCCCACCTTCCTCATCTAGTTGCGCGAATTTTACGCGCCACTGACCAGTGCCAGACCGAGGGCCAAAAACGAACTAGGGTAACAAGCGCAAAATAAAAAATAAAAAAACGAACGATTTCGACCAATGGAGGCACTACGAAGGTGTGTTTGGGAGGGGAAAAATGGGGGGTATTTGAACCCCCCTTTGTCAAACAACAGGCTTGTTCAGAGGTTCCCCTTTGAACGGCAATGCGACGGCTGTGCCATCGCTGTGCTTCGAAAAACGCGGCATGGCGATGGCATGGCTTGGGAATAGAACTTTGCCTGAGGACGAAGTTGCGTCCCCGCTTCCATATGCCATCGAGCAGTTCGTTTTGGTGGACAAATGGGGGTGTTCGCTAGACACCCACTTTGATTGTAGGTTTGGACAGTTGGGGAGGCTCGGCACCTAATTTACGGGCTGACCAGGCTGACGGAGGTAAACGAACCCTAACTGACGGGATCAGGAAGGCGAGACCCACCTTCCTGATCCCGTCATCATCCCATAGTTTTTTGCTCTATTGGTGCTAGCGAACACCGCCCATGTTGGGGTTTGACGCGTAGTAGTCAACCCCGGTAAGGAAAAGGGAAATTCCTTACAATTTAGGGTGTGTTTCTATCCCGTGTCAGACATTAGGTTTGACACGAAGTGGAGGTTCGGAAGACCCGAAGTGGCTCGTTTTGGGGGCGATTGGAAGTTCGGAAGAGACAAATTGGAGACTAAGGCCGCATGACTTGATGTCTGACGCGCCCTTAGATGCAAAACCAGTAGCACGATGCAATTCTGGGAGGTTGGGTGCCTGAGCGTCAGCCATGGCCAGCAATCCTTCACGCCGGGCGCAGCTTCGCGGAGCCGCCGGCGCGTCCCCTTGTGAGGGCGCCGAGGGAGCAGCGCTTCCGCCTTCGCTGTTCGCCAAGGGCCCCTTCCCCTTCCGCGCTGCCCTCCTCGCCTCCGCCGCTCCCGACTCGCTTCCGCCAGGCCCTGGCGGGGCAACGCAGTCGGCGGGCGTCGAGACGCCGGCGCAGCGCCGCCAAGCAGCCGCTCCGCCGTCGGACGGCGGTCGGACTGAAGCCGCCCAGTGCGCGGAGGGCGCGGAGGAGAGGGGCGCGAGTGACGGCAGCAAGGGCTTGGGCGGGCCGAGGCGAGGGCTGACGTGTTGGAGTTGCGGGGAGACGTTTGATGACGTGGCGGAGCAGCGCGCGCACTTCAAGAGCGACTGGCACCGCCTCAACGTGCGCCGCCCTGCTGTTCCCCATGTCATGGCCCCACCCCGTGCCCCCAGTGCCCCCATACAACCATGTCCCCTAAACCCCCATGCCACCATGCCCCCACCCACTACTGCCGCGTCCCTTGCCAGCACATCCCTTGCCAGCACATCCCTTGCCCCATGCTCGTTGCCCCCATGCCCCCTTTGCCCCCATGCCTTACATGCCACTATAACCCCACCTTCTTTTGCGCTCCTTCCCCGTCATCTGCACTTATCCTCTCCTCTGCTCCCCCTCCTCTCCTCTCCTCTCCTGTCCTTCCCTCCGCTTCTCTCATCCTCTTCCCCCCCTCTCCTCGCCCCCCACCAGGTCAAGCGCCGGGCATGTGGGCGCGCAGCGCTGTCGGAGGAGGCCTTTGCGGCGCTGCTGGACGCCAGGCGCGCGGGGGAAGGGGGGGGGAATGGGGGGAGGAGCCGGGGCACGCAGGGCAGTGCGGATGCCGGCGCTGCTGTGAGTAGCGGGGCGGGCGGGACAGCAGAGGAGCGGGGAGAGGGGGGGGAAGACGACGATGACTGGTCGAGCATTTCAGGGTCGGAGGACGAGCAGGGAGGGGAGGACGCGGACGAGGGGCAGCAGCAGCAGGGGGAGGGGAAGCTGGCAGGGGCAGGGCGGGGGGCGAAGGTGCACTTCGTGCTGCCCCACACGGGCGTCACTTTCGCCCTCTGGCGCGTGCTCTTCCCCCCAGGTGCGCTCTTCCCCCCAGGTGTGCTCTTCACCCCAGGTGCGCTCTTCCCCCCAGGTGCGCTCTTCCCCCCAGGTGCGCTCTTCCCCCCAGGTGCGCTCTTCCCCCCAGGTGCGCTCTTCCCCCCAGGTGCGCTCTTCCCCCCAGGTGCGCTCTTCCCCCAAGGTGCGCTCTTCCCCCCAGATGCGCTCTTCCCCCAGGTGCGCTCTCCCCCCCAGGTGCGCTCTTCCCCCCAGGTGCGCTCTCCCCCCCAGGTGCGCTCTTCCCCCCAGGTGCGCTCTTCCCCCCAGGTGCGCTCTTCCCCCCAGGTGCGCTCTTCCCCCCAGGTGCGCTCTTCCCCCCAGGTGCGCTCTTCCCCCCAGGTGCGCTCTTCCCCCCAGGTGCGCTCTTCCCCCCAGGTACGCTCTTCCCCCCAGGTGTGTGCTTCCCCCCACTCTGCTCACCTCCCCATTGTTCCCTGCTGTGCACTGCTCACTCTTCCCCCTGCCTGCCCATTCCCCCCGCACTCCTCCCCTTCCCGCTGCTCGCCTCTGCCGCCCTGCCCCTGCCAGAGGAGGGCGCAGATCTGCTGCAGGCGCTGGTGGCGCTGGGGGAGGGCGCAGGGGCGGCGCATGGGGGAGCATTCAGAGGAGGGGGGGACGGAAGCGCGGAGGCTGGGGAAACGGATGGGGGAAGGAGCAAGAGGGGTGGGGGGGTGGAGTCAGCGAGGGGCAAGGCAGGCGGGGGTGCAGCACAGGTGGAGGCGGGGAGAGAAGGCACGCTGGTGGGGAAGTCGGGGGGTCAGGAGAGGGGCGACGGGGGGCAAGGCGGGGAGCGCGTGTGGGTGGTGGTGCTGAGCTCGGGCGGCCACTTTGCCGCCGTGGTGGTGGACGCCGCCTCCCACGGCGCCGTGCTCGCCCACCGCTCCTTCCACCGGTGCGTGGCCTGGGGGGAGCAAGCGGCCTGCAGGAGGAGAGAGAGATGGGAAAGTGTGTGTGGCACACATGCATGGGTGGTGGGGCACACATGCATGGGTGGTGGGGCACACATGCATGGGTGGTGGGGCACACATGCATGGGTGGTGGGCACACATGCATGAGTGGTTGGGCACACATGCATGGGTGGTGGGGCACACATGCATGGGTGGTGGGCACACATGCATGGGTGGTGGGCACACATGCATGGGTGGTGGGGCACACATGCATGGGTGGTGGGCACACATGCATGGGTGGTGGGGCACACATGCATGGGTGGTGGGCACACATGCATGGGTGGTGGGCACACATACATGGGTGGTGGGGCACACATGCATGGGTGGTGGGTACACATGCATGGGTGGTGGGGCACACATGCATGGGTGGTGGGGCACACATGCATGGGTGGTGGGGCACACATGCATGGGTGGTGGGGCACACATACATGGGTGGTGGGGCACACATGCATGGGTGGTGGGCACACATGCATGGGTGGTGGGGCACACATGCATGGGTGGTGGGCACACATGCATGGGTGGTGGGGCACACATGCATGGGTGGTGGGGCACACAAGCATGGGTGGTGGGGCACACATGCATGGGTGGTGGGTACACAAGCATGGGTGGTGGGCACACATGCATGGGTGGTGGGCACACATGCATGGGTGGTGGGCACACACACATGCATGGGTGGTGGGCACACACACATGCATGGGTGGTGGGCACACATGCATGGGTGGTGGGCGGGCACACATGCATGGGTGGTGGGGGGGCACACATGCATGGGTGGTGGGGCACACAAGCATGGGTGGTGGGCACACATGCATGGGTGGTGGGCACACATGCATGGGTGGTGGGGCACACATGCATGGATGGTGGGGCACACAAGCATGGGTGGTGGGGCACACATGCATGGGTGGTGGGTACACATGCATGGGTGGTGGGCACACATGCATGGGTGGTGGGCACACATGCATGGGTCTTGGGGCACACATGCGTGGGTGGTGGGCACACATGCATGGGTGGTGGGGCACACATGCATGGGTGGTGGGGCACACATACATGGGTGGTGGGGCACACATGCATGGGTGGTGGGCACACATGCATGGGTGGTGGGGGGGCACTCATGCATGGGTGGTGGGCACACATGCATGGGTGGTGGGGCACACATGCATGGGTGGTGGGCACACATGCATGGGTGGCGGGCACACATGCATGGGTGGTGGGGCACACATGCATGGGTGGTGGGCACACACACATGCATGGGTGGTGGGGCACACATGCATGGGTGGTGGGGCACACATGCATGGGTGGTGGGCACACATGCATGGGTGGTGGGGCACACATGCATGGGTAGTGGGCACACACACATGCATGGGTGGTGGGCACACACACATGCATGGGTGGTGGGGCACACATGCATGGGTGGTGGGGCACACATACATGGGTGGTGGGGCACACATGCATGGGTGGTGGGCACACATGCATGGGTGGTGGGGCACACATGCATGGGTGGTGGGGCACACAAGCATGGGTGGTGGGGCACACATGCATGGGTGGTGGGTACACATGCATGGGTGGTGGGCACACATGCATGGGTGGTGGGGCACACATACATGGGTGGTGGGGCACACATGCATGGGTGGTGGGGCACACATACATGGGTGGTGGGGCACACATGCATGGGTGGTGGGGCACACATGCATGGGTGGTGGGGCACACATGCAGTGGGTGGTGGGGCACACATGCGTGGGTGGTGGGGCACACATGCGTGGGTGGTGGGCACACATGCGTGGGTGGTGGGGCACACATGCATGGGTGGTGGGCACACATGCATGGGTGGTGGGGCACACATGCATGGGTGGTGGGCACACATGCGTGGGTGGTGGGGCACACATGCATGGGTGGTGGGGCACACATGCATGGGTGGTGGGGCACACATGCATGGGTGGTGGGCACACATGCATGGGTGGTGGGGCACACATGCATGGGTGGTGGGGCACACATGCATGGATGGTGGGCACACATGCATGGGTGGTGGGGCACACATGCATGGGTGGCGGGGCGGGATTGGGCGTGACAGTGGGAATGACGTGGGGGGGATGTGAGACGGGAAGGAGGAGCCGTGTGACATGGACTGGTGGGGAGCTGCCCATGGCTGACGTCACTGTACCTCTCCTTGCACCCCACTCCCCCTCCCCTCTCCACCCACGTCCACCTCTCCGCCCCTGTGCACTGCTCTGCCCGTCCGCCCCTGTGCACTGCTCTGCCCGTCCGCCCCTGTGCACTGCTCTGCCCGTCCGCCCCTGTGCACTGCTCTGCCCGTCCGCCCCTGTGCACTGCTCTGCCCGTCCGCCCCTGTGCACTGCTCTGCCCGTCCGCCCCTGTGCACTGCTCTGCCCGTCCGCCCCTGTGCACTGCTCTGCCCGTCCGCCCCTGTGCACTGCTCTGCCCGTCCGCCCCTGTGCACTGCTCTGCCCGTCCGCCCCTGTGCACTGCTCTGCCCGTCCGCCCCTGTGCACTGCTCTGCCCGTCCGCCCCTGTGCACTGCTCTGCCCGTCCGCCCCTGTGCACTGCTCTGCCCGTCCGCCCCTGTGCACTGCTCTGCCCGTCCGCCCCTGTGCACTGCTCTGCCCGTCCGCCCCTGTGCACTGCTCTGCCCGTCCGCCCCTGTGCACTGCTCTGCCCGTCCGCCCCTGTGCACTGCTCTGCCCGTCCGCCCCTGTGCACTGCTCTGCCCGTCCGCCCCTGTGCACTGCTCTGCCCGTCCGCCCCTGTGCACTGCTCTGCCCGTCCGCCCCTGTGCACTGCTCTGCCCGTCCGCCCCTGTGCACTGCTCTGCCCGTCCGCCCCTGTGCACTGCTCTGCCCGTCCGCCCCTGTGCACGGCTGCCCGTCCACCTGTCCGCCCCTGTGCACTGCTGCCCGTCCACCTGTCCGCCCCTGTGCACGGCTGGCCGTCCACCTGTCCGCCCCTGTCCGCCCCTGTCCGCCCCTGTGCGCCCCTGTCCGCCCCTGTGCGCCCCTGTCCGCCCCTGTCCGCCCCTGTGCGCCCCTGTCCGCCCCTGTGCGCCCCTGTCCGCCCCTGTGCACGGCTGGCCCCCCATCAGGTACGTGGTGCGAGCCAAGGCGGGCGGGCGCCAGGCAACGAGGGACGGAGCGGGCAGAGCGCCGCAGTCAGCGGGGGCCAGTCTGAGGCGCTACAACGAGGCGGCTCTTGTCAAGGTGGGGTGGGGGGCGATGAGCGGGAGATGGTGAATGCAATGGTGTCTCCTTTTCCTTCTATGGGCCCGTCTGCCCTTCCCCTCCTTTCCCGCAAGTCTGGTTTTGCTCTCCTACCCTCACCCGCTTTCATTCCCTTCATTCAGCCCCCCTACCTTGTTGCTTCCTCCCCCCCGATCCCACCTCCCCCCGATCCCACCTCCCCCCGATCCCACCTCCCCCCGCGCCCTCAGGACATCCGAGCCCTGCTGCAGCACTGGCAGCCCTACCTGGCGCGCGCACAGTTCATCTTCGTACACGCCACCGCACTCAACCGCGCTGCACTCTTCGGCACCGCGGCAGAGGCTCACGCTAGTCGGGGCACAGGGGGGGCTGTGGCGGGGTTGCTGGCGGCGCGCGACCCGCGCGTGCGGCGCGTGCCCTTCCCCGTGCGCCGCCCCACCGTCAAGGAGGCGTTGCGCGTGGCGCACTCCCTGGCACACGTGCACGTGCTGGGGGGGGCGCAGGGGGAAGAGGGCGGGGCGGCGGGAGTGGAGTGTGGGGAAGGGGAATCGGGTGCTGTGGGTGGCGGCAAGGGGGTGGCGGCAGTGAGGGCGCGGGAAGAAAGGGCAGAGCAAAGGGAGGCGGTGCAGGGAGAAGACAGGGGGCTGGAAGACGGGATGCAGGACACAGGAAGAGACGGAGATGGGCATGTGGAGTTGCAGGGAGATGGGGAAGGGCAGGAGAGAGGAGAGGCGAGTGGGGCCAGTGGAGGGGAGGTGCAGGAGAAGGAGGCAGCGGGGCAAGGATGGGGGAGAACGGCACTCCATGTGGCAGCTGCTGCAGGTGGGTGGGTGGGTAGGTGGGTGCCACAGCGAGGGTGTGGTGGTTAATGGTGAGAGACGTGTTGCTCTGTGCTCTGTGCTGCAAGATTCACTGGGCTGCACGACTGCATTGCTTGCTTCATGTGTGTTTGCCGCATTTGCATCACACTCATCACGCCCATCACACTCATCACGCCCATCACACCCATTCTAAGTAAGGTTGTATTCCAAAGTTGGGACACCACCCACGCGACTCGAAATATCAGCGTGGAATTTCAATGTTGCTCCACGCGGTCCCAAGTCTGGACACCAAGCAACACACCAGTCAAGTAACGTGCGCCTGATGCGCAGGTCAAAATGCGACATAGACGATCGGGGAATTTCGGACTTCAACTTACAATCTTGACCGTCACGAACCCTGAAAAATCTGCCAACAACAACCAATGAGCCTATGGTGAATGTTTTTCCCAGGCCGCCCAAGTAAATGTGGCTGTTTACTGTTTCCGCGCTCTGATTGGGCATGATCCAACAACCGTCAGGCGATTCTGACGAACCTGGTCGCACGCCTAATTTAGTCTCATGTTTAAACTAGACCACACCCCGCACGGACACCATCCACCCCCAAAAAGTGCTGGCGGTGGGGGAACCTCGATGGTGTCCCAACTTGGGAATACAATCCAAGTGAGCATGGCCCTGTGGTGCCGCTCTCCTATGTGCGGCCTCTCTCCTCCCACGCCATGCATTCATGTGCCGCGACCATGCATTCATGTGCCGCGACCATGCATTCATGTGCCGCGACCATGCATTCATGTGCCGCGACCATGCATTCATGTGCCGCGACCATGCATTCATGTGCCGCGACCATGCATTCATGTGCCGCGACCATGCATTCATGTGCCGCGACCATGCATTCATGTGCCGCGACCATGCACGCCTCTCTCCCCGTGCAGGCAACCACGCGGAGGTGGCTCGCCTGCTGCAGCAGGGCAGTGACCCCACGGGGCGGGACGGCAGGGGGCGAGTGGCGTACGTGGTGGCGGCCAACAAGGCCACGCGGGACGCCTTCCGCCGCCACATGGCAGCCCACCCGCAGCAGTGGGACTGGCACGCCGCTGCTGTGCCCAGCGCCCTCACTGAAGAGCTCCAGGCCTCCCAGGCCGCCCGCCAGGTGGGGGGGGGAATGGTGGCGGAGAGGAATGAGAGCAGAGCAGCGCGGTGGGTGAGGCTTGCAAGTGGGCTTGGACGCCTGGTAGCCTTGGGACGAGATGTCGTTGGAATATTTTGCAGACAAAAGAGACTACGGTATTGTCCAGATTGAACCTCGACTTTAGAGTAAGTTGAGCTCAAGTGAGCTTTGATTGGCTAGACTCAGTTCCCTGCTACAATGACCAGGATGTCATGCTGTCGCCACACCCCATGCCCCATACCCAATACCCCATGCCCCATACCCCATACCATACCCCATGCCTTATACCCCATACCCCATGCGCCATGCGCCATGCCATGCACTGCTCGCCGCATTTCATGATGCATTGGCCTCGCTCTCACTGGACAGCACCTCCTCCCTGCCCCCCTGCACTTCCCCATCGTGCTGCCGTGCTTGGTGCACGTGGTGAGGTTGGCAGGCGGAGAAGGAAGCGAAGAAGAAGGCAAAGGAGAAGGAGAGGAGGCAGAGGAAGAAGCAGGAGGAGAGAGAGCGCAAGGTGGGGATGGGGAGGGTGGGAATGCTTAGTGGTCTAAATCACACACTGTCTAGGCTGGATAGATGGTGTGGGGGGTTGCTCCACCCGCTACTGCTGCTATCAGCCTTCCCCTTGCTCTCATCGCACTGCCCCAACCTCCTTAATCAAGAGCACAACCATTCTCATGTAAACTCCTCCCCCCTGATGCCTCATGCCTGTTTCCCTTCCTTCCGCCATCCTCATCCGTGCACCTCTCTCCCGTCCTTGCAACGCATCTCTGTGTGTACAACCGTGCCTCGCCCCTCACCCCTCCCCCCACCAACCCCGTGCCCCGAGCAGCAGCAAGCCCTCCACCAGAGCGCGCCACCAGCGCCATCGCCGACACACGCATCGCCTGCAGAGACTGTAAGGCGCATGCCTCCATGCTGCCTTCCTCTCCCTTTCTGCGTGCTTCCTTTCGCCCTCCATGTGCTGCACTGCACGTGCCTCCGGTCACTGTGTCGCCTTGAGTCTAACCACTGCCTGCTCAAGCCTCCTGCAGCCACTCATGCAAATGCTGACGATTTTGTTCCGTGGCTTGGTGACGCGCCTGCACGCATGTACCGTATCTGTGCTGTGCTGTGTGGTGTGCAGGAGGAGCAGAGGAGGGCGAGGGAGAGGGAGGAGAGGGCAGCAGCGGCGGAGAGGCGTGTGCAGCAGCTGGCCGGGGGCACCGCTGCGCCTGCCACGGCCCACCATGCCTCCCCCGCCACCACTGCTGCAGGCAGCTGCTGCGACTCGTGTGGAGCATCGCTGGCGGGCAGGACGCCCTTCTCCCGCCTCGCCTTCAACTACTGCACCACTGCATGCGTGCGCGCTCACAAGACCGTCCTTGACGCCCTGTAGCTTCTGTCTTCCTCTGCGGGTCTAGATCCGATGCTCTGCACAACAAGATTCATGGTACTGTATTCCCCCGGATAAAAGACCCTAGGGGCTGTTATTGATTTCACAAATTTCTGTGGGGGGTCTTATTAAATTGTAAAAACCTATAAGACCCGGGTCTTAACATAAGTGCTATGATTTTTAAAATATAATGAAATGCAAGGGCGTTGTAATGCAGAACTGCGTTTTTAAATCAAGGAAACAGCACGCGAATGTCCTGAGCCGAGAAAACGGGTACAATCCATGAAGCATCACAATGCTTCATGCTCATTGGCCCATTTTCAGTGGTTACCAGCATTATCGATTGGAAGGCGACCAACGTGTACCACGTCCAGTGCATTGTGTCAGACCGTCTCGGTCGTCTCATCCCTTGCATGCTACGTGAAACTCTCTCCACAGAGTCGCGCTGTCGTTGTCACGTCTAGTGCAGAAGCGAATTTGACAACGCCTGCCAACGGACCAACCTCTGTGCAATGGGGAGAGTAGCTCGGCAGGGTCTAGGATAGCGGGCCGTACAAGGCAGATTAAAATAGCGTTGCTAGATGATAGGGATGCATCGCATGAGGCAGAAACATCGCCTCACCATGGTGACATCGCCCGATTCAGGCACGTCAGAATCACGCCGCCCTCGTGCAACACCAGTCCGTACGCCTGCTCGTGTTAGGACGACGCCGCGTCCTGTCCTGCCTGCGCCAGTATCGTCTTCAAGTGAGACTTCTCAGAGCAGCCGTACCCCACGGGCCCCCCTTCCCACGGTCCGTGTCCCCGTCTTTCCGCAGTCTTCTCGCCTGCAAGGCAAGAAGAACAAGGTTCAGGATGCAGCGCCCCCCTCGCCTCGCCACCGAATGACGAAGAAGGCGTGGCATGCGTACACGGCGAGGGAGAAACTGTACTGGCTGGATATGCTAGACACGCAGCCCGATCTCAGCATCCGGGGGCTGGCGAGGCTGGCTAACTTGCAACCAAAGCAGATTCGCGAATGGCGGAAGTTGAAGGAGCACCTCCTTGTTTCAGCGGCTTGTCGTCGTCGCCTCGTTGGCGGAGGCCGTAAGGCAAAGTGGCCTTTCATGGAGAGGGCCATCTACTGGCAGTTCTTGGCGCACCGTGCCAAGGGTCTGGCCGTCTCAGTGAGCATGCTTCTGAAGTGGTCGCGGTAGTACATGAAGCACCGGCACCCTCAGGCCGACTGGCGCGGATCTAAACGTTGGACCTTCCGCTTCCGCGTGCGGTGGTCCTTGGCGAAGCGTGTTAAGACAAAGATGGGGCAAAAGCTTGCAGACAGTGAGTCTCTTTGCTGTTGTGTTGTTTTTTTTGCCCCCGGCCTCCTTCATGTGTCGTGTGTGTAATCCTTGATGTTCCTCAACTAACAATTTTTGTCAACTCTCCCCTTGCAGATTTGAAGGCGAAGGTCGAATCCTTCTGGGAGTTTGTTCGGCAGATGCAAGTCCTTAACTCCTACACCGACAATCTGATCGTTAACGCCGATCAAACGCCCCTCTTCTTGGAGATGCCGCAGGAACGGACATTGGAGATGAAGGGGGCGCGCACGGTGCACGTCCGTACCGCGGGTTACGAGAAGGAACGCCTCACCGTTATGCTGGCGGTGACGGCAAGCGGCTTGAAATTGCCGCCGTATGTGGTGTTCAAGCACAAGACAGTCCCGAAGGTCGCCGTTCCCCGAGGTGAGTCGATACGGCCGTTGCGCATGTTTCACGTACCCTCTTGCATGCGACTAACAAGCTACGTGCGTGTGCAGGTGTCGTGATCCGGGCGCAGTCACGGGGATGGATGGACGAAAACCTCGTCCAGGACTGGACTACCCAAGTCCTCGTCCCCTTCATGAGGCCCCTGCGCGACGAGGGAGGCAGGCGGAAGGACGTCCTCCTCGTCCTAGACTCCTACAGAGGACATCTCACCGAAGGTGTCGGCCAGACTATGCGTCTCTTTAGGCTGACACGCGCGGTGATCCCAGGCGGTTGCACACCGCTTGTGCAACCGCTAGATGTGTCAATCAACCGCGCCTTCAAGGCGGGCGTCCGCCACCGTTACGGCAACTGGTTCGAGGAGGACGGGATCACCAACACAACGCCCGCAGGTGAGGCCGTGTACGAGGAGATGCCCGCGTTTGTATGTGTATGAACTGATGAATCACACAACCATACACACTCCACTCCCATTCCCTCCGCCCTCACCCACAGGCAATCTGAAGAAACCGCCGGCTGAACTCATCCTGAAATGGATTGACGAGTCGTGGGCCGACGTTCCCGAGGAGATGGTGAGGAAAGCATTCCTCACCTGCGGAATCTCCAACACCGCGGACGGGAGCCAGGATCATCTGATCCTGGCGCACATGCGGGATTCCGGCGAGGTGGAGGTCCTGGAAGACGTGATGGAGGAGGAGCAGGATGAATTTCTCCCCAACCCGTTCTACCCGGCCCCCGTGGTCACCCCTCCCGATGTGACCGTCGAGATGGAGGAGGAGGCCGTGCTGGCCACTGAAGCTGACGAAGCCGATGCGGAGGCTGTACCTGCTAAGTCAGACTTGAGCGAGTCCGACGATGGAGAGGCGGGCGAAGCTGACGAGTGGAGCGACGAAGGGGATGAATGGTGGGCCCCTGGTCGCTATGAGGGGGCAGAGGTAGATGAGTGGGTGGCGGGTGACGAAGATGAGTAATAAGGTGGGGGCGGATTCCAAGGTGGTGGGTGAATAGTGGGGCTAGTTGGGTGTTGAGATGCTGCCTTATTTGTGATTTGTGACTCCAGAGGTCGTAGATGTGCCTCTGCTTGCTATATTCACATGAATTTGCCTCAAAAAAATACTCTCAAAGTTGGGGGGGGGGGTCTTATAATGTTTTCACCCCAAAAGGGGGGTATAAGGAAAACGGTCTTGAATAATATACCCCCCCCCCCCCCCCCCCCCCCGTATTAAAGACCCGGGTACATTATTCTAGGGGGGGTACATTATTATCCGGGGGAATACGGTATATCATTGTAAAAAATGTGGTACAGTATATCACCCTTACAAAACATTAAGAATGGTCTAGTACGGTGGAACTGCATGCTTTTCTCAGGGCAAAACCGTGCAATAGAAATCGTTTCTGCTTCTGGGGCTGCATACACTGCACGCAGTACCACCAGTCATTGTGAGAAACACAGCCAGCCAGGCCGTAAAGGAATGCACAATGCGGTAGTGGCAAGCAAGTAGCGCCAGGACTGTGGCAAGAAGATGATGTGTTCAGTGTTGCACAAACACACAATGCTGCACACGCTGCAGCCATTGACCAGCATAGATCGTAATAGCAACCCAACCCACGAATGTGCTACACCAGCTATTTTGCATTACGATTGTACATGCCAGGTCACTTCTTGATGGGTTGAACCGCAAGGCACTGTTCTCACAGAGTGCCCTTTACCATCAACCCATGTTAGGCTTCCAAACTGGAAGCTCTCAGACGTGTTTATCACTTTGAACGTCACCATGAAGGTTACCCTTTTACCCGGAGCAGTTGTGAATTTGTTGGGTGAAACTGTGATGGAGACTCCACTAGGAGGCCGGATGCTAGCTGTATATGTGGATGAGGAGTCAGCAACGTTTGTGACCGTCCTGTTTGCTGTCGCCGCCCCTTTCAGTCGGGCCATTGAGATGCTTGGACGGTTCAACTCACGGGGAGCAACCGCCGTAAGCCTAGCTCATGGGAAGTGCTTCTTTGCTTGCTTCATACTCTGCCCAGCTAGAAAGTTCCGATAAGCAGCTGCCCGGGCGTCGTATGTGAGCCCGGGATCCAGCAGCTTGGGTGGGAACACCTGGCCAGACCCCATCTCCCACAGAGTAGCAGCCTCACCATAGCCATTATCGATGGCAGCACCGCTGGTGTCAGTGGTCTTGGCGGTGGTCATGATGGCGGACATGACCTGCGCGGGGCTCCACGAGGGGTGCTTCTGCATGATGAGAGCAGCAATGCCCGCCAAGTGAGGCGTTGACATCGACGTCCCTGATAGCTACGCGTAGCTCCCTGGCCTCCCCACCTTCTCAGCCGGCCGACAATGTCGGGCTTTAAAATGCTGTTCGTGGGGAGGGTGGCGGTGGCGTTAGTGGAAGGGTCCCTGAGGGGTCCGGTGGAGGAGAAATCGGCAACGGACGGGTAGGCTGTAGCTGCAGGGGTGGTTGAGACAGATGATGTGTTGCTGCGAGCTGCACCTGCCAGTGCAGCAGCCTTCAGGGTTATACCGCCTCGCCCAATGGTGCTGCAGGGAGGTCGAGGGAGGTGGGAGGAGGGGAAGGGAAGAGAACGAGGAGAGGGAGGAGAGAAGAGGAAAAGCCCGGAAGTTATTATTGGCGGAGTACTCGAGGAAGCAGAGTGGTGGCAAGGGATGTTGAGCAGTGAGGGTAGTGAAGCTGCCCACATGGCACACCACGAGCAAACCTTGATGTGATTACCTGCTCATCCGCTCTTGAGGTGGTAAGAGGGAAGGGAGGGAGAGGGCGGCTCACCTTGCCCCCACTGTGAGGTAGAACGGGTAGAAGTTCTCAATCATGCGGTAACCGCTTGGGTCATAGCCCGGCGCGTCACCGTTGCCCGCTGCGAACGCAACAAGCACCCCCGCGAGGCTAGCAGCGAGGTACGGCATGTGGTGGAAGTAGGTGTCGGTGGCATCCATGCCGCCCAGCGAGAGCGAGATGACATCCACGCCGTCCGCCACGGCCTGGTTGACTGCCGCCTCCACGTCCGCCTGCACGCCGAAGAAGGAGCCCTCCGCGTACCACAGCACCTTGTACACCGCCATGCGCGCTGCTGGCGCCATGCCACTCGCCCTGCCGCCCGCCATGGCCACGTCCCTGTTGCCCGCTGCTGCACTGCACAGTAGAGGATAGATGGGGAATAAACGTCTCATAAGCAGGTAACAAGCTTCTCACAAATGAGGAGGATCTCAAGTGGGGTGGAGGAGGGGGGGGAGTGGCGAGGTGAGAGATGGATAGAAGCATCCGGCTCACAAGTGGCCCGGGAGGCAGTTTGAGGAGGTGTCAGGGGTGGGATCCAGTTGATCATCTCAGATTCAACATGAAGATTTAGGCAAAACCACGTACCCTGCACCATGCACCCTGCACACCACGTACCCTGCACACCATGCACCCTGCACACCACGTGCCCTGCACACCACGTGCCCTGCACACCACGTGCCCTGCTCACCACCGTGCCCTGCACACTACGTGCCCTGCACACCACGTGCCCTGCACACCCCGTGCCCTGCACACCACGTGCCCTGCTCACCAAGTGCCCTGCATACTACGTGCCCTGCACACCACGTACCCTGCACACCACGTGCCATGGCCGTACGAATCGCGAGGCGACAGCCAGTCTTTCGACAGGTCCGGGCCACCGGTGTCCTCCTTAAAGCCCTTGTAGAACCCCCACGCGCCAATGAGCTTGTTGTTGCACTTGAACTCGCTCGTCGCATCGCACTTGCCCGACCAGCCAGCGGGGCACGAGGAGGGGAAGGCGGCATCAGTGAAGGAGGGGTGCTCGGGCCAGATGCCCGAATCCACCACGCCCACCACCATCCCCTCGCCCGCCTTAAGGCAAATTTGTCTGCCCGCCATTGGCGGGCCACAGGGACCCGGGGCCGCGCGTGCCGAGGAAGGTGGGGGAGTCGATGGTGAGCGGCGTAACACTGCAGCTGCGCATCACTGCCGCCACTGCCGGGTGCCGCTGCAGCCGCCGCACCTGCTGCGGGGAGGGTGGCTGCGAAGCCGTTGCTCACGTGCATGTAGCTGGGGGAGGGGGGAAGGGTAGGGGAGTAAGGGGGGTGAGGGGAAGTGATGGAGGAGGGAAGGTGAGGGAAGGCTGGGTAGTACGGTCGAGGGGCAAGTTTGAGCATGAAGTTTGTGGGTTTCCAAAATCAGCTTGGTTTACGGGTAAATTTTGGCCCCAACGCCTTCAATTTCGCATCAAAATTAGTGCTGCGGTGCCCCCCGAATGATGTGGGGAGTTATCATGATGTAACCAGGGCTCTCAAACATGCGAGCTGCTGGTTCCGGCCTTACTCGTGACAGTCTCACCCCACGTACTTGTACACGATGCGGTCTGATGTCACGCCCACGTCAGCCGCGATTCGCGTCTGCTGCGTCTCGAGCATCTGCGCGTTCGCCTTGAGCTGCGGGTTCTCCATGCTCAAACGCGGGCGCCGCGGAATGCTGCCCGCCAGCGTCGCCGCCTCGTGCGCAATCGTCTCCACCGCCGCCCTGTAACAAGACGAAGGCGATCTCACCTTCCTCGATTTCGCCAACTCAGCTCCTTGTGATCCGAACCAGAATTCGGAACACACCCTAAGTGCATTTCGGGAATTCAATGTTGGAACTCCAACATTGAAATGTGCGACCCGACTTTCTGAGTTTCCAACCGTGGGAACAAAGTACAGAGAGCACACTAGTGCTGGACACAACGGGGCAGAGAATACCTACAGCGCAGCAGATTACTTGACAGCACAAGACCCTACAGCTACGACTACTTCCAGCAGTGCCCGTACTCATCATGATCAACGACGACCTGGAAGACAACAAGACAAAGAAATCTCTGCCCATTACATTAGTGTTTTCCCAGACTTTGCTGATTGGTTCTAGGACTAGACAACAAGGCTAGGATGCTATGTACATAATAATAAATGCTTTGCCTTGCTGTTCCTAGCTCTAGGAAGGTGAATGGCGACCTGAGCGACCTGCTTGAGGCGCCATAGCTAGTATCCTAGTATAATAGGATGTACCTCTGAAATGTAAGCCATCATATGATCTCTTGTAAAGCTATCTTGCTACTAGCTCTCTTAAATTCTCCTAAGAGCACTTACTACTACTACTACTCTGCCAAAACAGCTTAGTGGCTGTTCCATTTGGTATCCGAGCTATCTTCGATCCTCCTTTTCTTAAGAACAGCGTCATGACGACTAGTAAGGTACCTTCTCGTGATGAATGGGCTAGCTACTTGGAAACGTACCGAGCCCAACTTGTTGCTGAAGTTAGAGAGAGCTTGCAAGCAGAGATGAAAGCTAGTGTAGCTGTAGCTGGAGCGGCGGCAGCAACCTCGAACCCTGCTGCACCGCCAGACGGAAATCAGCGCGCTAGACCCGCCCTTCCTGATTTTTTCTTTCCCGGGAGAAACCAACCAGTCGTGAGCCGTTGGCTCTTTCTTGTTGAGCAATCCCTGCTCCTAAGTCACATACTACCTGCCGAGTGGACTGCTTTCACTGGCACCCTTCTTTGTGGATCTGCTATCACCTGGTGGCAATCCGTGCATGCGACCATCCAATCATGGGATCAATTCAAGCTTATCTTCACTGCTACCTTTCAACCGGTGAACCCGAACATCCGAGCACGAGACTCCTTGGCTACTCTGAAGCAGCTCAAATCTGTTCAAGAATACGCTTCTCGCTTCTGTGACATCGCTCAAGAGATCCCGGACCTTTCCGATGCTGAACGGATGGATCGTTTCAAGCGCGGGCTGAAAACGAACGTGCGGATGGAGGTCGAGCTGAGGGACTGCTCTACGCGTGGCTGAACGGTATGATTCTGTTCATTACACATACAACAAGCCTCGCTTTCCTGGTAGCCCGTTCCTCCCGTTTGCTCCCTCCTACCAGCCCTCTACAACAACGGACTCCAATCTTCAAGAATCTGCTCCTATG